GAATTGCAAAAAGTTGTAAGATATAAAATATTTATGCAAATGGCACATTTCCCAAAAATGCAAACTTCTTGTTACTAGAATAAGCCCTCTGCTTAGCCCGCAGGATAGTTAATAGCGTTACGGTCAAACGGGATGCCACGCGGCATCAGCTATTTGTTCATTGTTCAACAGCTGAATCGTAGTGCAAATCTACATTGAGTTAGCAAATAAAACCGACTGTAATTTCATCGGGATAATAAATATAACACCATCGTGATTTTTAAATAGTGTATTTATCGAGCAGATCGCTGTGTTGAAGCTTCCTTCTTAACACAAGTCTAAAAATTCTTGAACCGTTTTACCCAAAAGATTATTATAACAAATGAATGAGTTGACAGATCCCACACATGTGTCACTCCTTGAAATGCAATAATCAGCTGTATTCAAATAATATCTAATATAAATATAACCGAGATAACGTAAAAACGATTCAATTCATATTTTTTAGCCGTTCTCCCATCACTAACATTATGAGACACTAATTTCAAATGTCAATTCCGATCTCCTTTGGTCTATTCTCCTCCTCCAACGTCACTGTATTCTATGTTTTGTGATCACTTGTTTTGTTATGTGTGGACAATGGAATTTTTTAACAACAGATTTCCGTATAAAAGTCCTCCAAGATTTTTTTGTGAAGAAATACATATTACACTGTCGTGTACACGTTAAATCTGCATTAACCCCTAAATACGTGGTTGTGTTGAATGTACCACGTACAGTCACCTATCGTGACACTGATTATACACTGAAATTAAAACAAAAAAGTGCAACTGCAATTGTATGTATGAATGTTGAAACTGTTCAACAGTTTCGGACCAGTGGGGTTAAAATATCGTTGAGGAACTGGAAGGAAGTGTATGAATGTGTTGAAATGCAACACCTAACAAAAATTTGAGTGAAAAGGCTTTTCACGTAAGGATTTGGAAGAGCAAGTTTGCAAATGTAGGATAAACTATAAGCACACAGTAGATGATATAATCACATATGGATTACAAAAGTTGCAACAAACATGGGAAAACCTTCAGCTAATCTGAAAAAATAGATTTTACGCAGACATCAAGCATTTTTAAAACTTTTGGCTCAGTTTTACATAATTTCATAATACAGGGTGGTCCATAAGTCCTTTGAAATTTCAAATTTGAATAAAATTTAACGGGTGAGCGTGAGCGGCGCGGGCTAGGTGGGGGCAGTATCTTCAGTGTCTGGGAATTCAGTCGCCATGGAGTGTTTCACTGGAGCGGATAAGCGGATAGCGGAATAATGTGTTGTTCTCGGACGAGGCTCACTTCCATTTAAACGGGCATGTAAATAAACAAAATTGCCGTTATTGAAGCCCCGAAAATCCAAGGCGTAAGCATCAGAAGCCCTTACACAGCCCTAATGTTACAGTTTGGGCTGCTATGTCAGCGCATGGCATCGTAGGCCCTTATTTTTTTGAGGATGACAGAGGTCGCGCATTAACTGTTACTTCGGAGCGGTATGTAGCAATGATAGAAGAGTTTTTGACACCAGCGTTGCAGAATTTTCCAAGCTATAATACGCAGACCTGGTTTCAACAGGACGGAGCAACTGCCCACACCTCCAACACTTCTATGCCCATCGTCTGTCAACTTTTTCCCAGCAAAGTAATTTCTCGAAGAGGAGACATTTCCTGGCCACCACGTAGTCCAGATTTGACCCCAATGGACTTCTTTTTACGGGGCTACCTCAAGAGTAAAGTGTACGACACCACTCCGCGATCAGTTGATGTCCTGAAAGAAAATATCCGAAGAGAAATGGCAAGCATTACAGTGTTGACTTGCCGCGCAGTCATCGACAATTTTAGACGTCGTTTATATGAGTGCCGTGATCGTAATGGATTGCATTTAGACGATGTGATTTTTAAAACATAATTCCCATTCAATAAAGATGATAACAAAATATAATAATTTTTCATAATGTAACTAGTTTGGTTTTATTCCTTTTTTTCCAGCTCAAAGGACTTATGGGCCACCCTGTATTTAATAAACTGAAAAGATTTCAATGGCAAGCTGTCACTTCATATTTTACAGTGTTTTGTTTTGAATACCTTGATGCTATTTGCTGCCAAAGATTTGACGGAGAGATCTTGAGGCTGATTGGGTATATTTAACGGACTGTTTGGTACTCGTACCCTATTGGTGCAGAATAGTAGTTTGTTAAATTGTGAAATCCACCCTTAGTATACTTGAAAATTCCCGGAAATACTGAAAACTGGTACAGGATACGACATGATATTGATACAACGATAACGTGAAAAACAACAAACCTATCTTCCAAGCGTTAGTGCTACCCCTGTACCATTTCACCTTTACTACGAGGACAGTACATAAAAAACTTTAACAACGGTCTCAAAGTCAAGATAATTTCAAAGCGACTTGGTTGGTGACGTAACGACAGGGGAGTTGTCCTTACTTGGCAAGAGATAGTGGGCAATAATTACCCCTCCTCTAGCAACCAGGCTCTGTAAGTCTCATAACAGCCTTCAACATCTGGAGGCGTCACGCCTCTGTAAATGTTTGAACTGTTACTAAACGTATCTCATTTGACAGGCTTCGTGGTTATAAGTGTACCAGTACAGCTAAATAATAAGCGATTCACAAAATCACAAAGATACAGTGACGTTTCGTGTGATACAATATTCGAATGAACTAAGAGGGTCTGTGCTTCGGCGTGCCATTATTTTCACGAATACCAGTGAGATTTACCAGGGTCGTAAGTGGTTGTTGAAATGTGTATGCTAGCAGTGCCTTTCGTAGCATTCTAAGAACGAAGTGAATCTCTTACCGCATGTTTCACATGAAGAAACGTATCTTATGTATTGTGTATATTTATACTGGTGAAGTCACCCCAATAAATAAAAAGGGCGGTCCTATTACTGTATCTCCTTGCTGCTCGAAAATTTTCGAGTACTGCTTTCTGCTCAGGCTGGAAGTATTTTTGGACAGAAAATAAACACTTTTCAAGAAACAGCATGACTTTAGGAGTGTAACATCATCAACGAAAGACCAACTGCAATTCCCTGTTTTTTTGGGCAATAATTTGTGCTATCGCGGCGGACAAGTCCCTTGTTGGGAAATTTTGCGATCTCACTAGGGCGTTCGATGGTATCGATCACAACATGCCCTAAACATCAACAGACGCATTCTCCCTGTTGTATGTTTATGTCGATTTTTCCATCGATATCGAAATTATGCTTTAAGCATCTTTGGGTACCTATTATATTTCGTTTTTAATGTTTTACCATACCAAATTTACATTTTTAGTAGAACAATGGCGTCAAGTCGGTTGAGATTGTATTTTCCACGTAAGGCATCATCATAGAAGATTATGTACGGTTCTTCTTGGAAAACACTACGAACATGTATAATATAGGAAATCAACAGACGCATTCTCCCTGTTGTATGTTTATGTCGATGTTTTCATCGTTATCGAAATTATGCTTCAAGCATCTGTGGGTACCTATTATATTTCGTTTTCAATGTTTTACCATACCAAATGTGCATTTTTAGTAGCACAATGGCGTCAAGTCGGTTGAGACTGTATTTTCCACGTAAGGCGTCATCATAGAAGATTATGTACGGTTCTTCTTGGAAAACACTACGAACAAGTATAATATAGGAAATCAACAGACGCATTCTCCCTGTTGTATGTTTATGTCGATTTTTTCATCGTTATCGAAATTATGCTTCAAGCATCTGTGGGTACCTATTATATTTCGTTTTTAATGTTTTACCATACCAAATATACATTTTTAGTAGAACAATGGCGTCAAGCCTGTTGAGATTGTATTTTCCACGTAAGGCGTCATCATAGAAGATTATGTACGGTTCTTCTTGGAAAACACTACGAATATGTATAATATAGGAAATCAATAGAAAAAGTCAGTAAAAATGGCAAATGTAATTTTAGTCCCCAGCTTCTAATCATGACTCCCTGGGGATCTGCCTGCCTCCTTAAATTTGCATATTTATTGTAGCTCCGGGTACCAGAGATTATGCTCCCACTAAGAACAGCTATTCCCCGCCAGTCATATATCTTTGGTGCCGACGATTCTTTGTCTATAGAGCGATTCTGAAAAACGAACACTCCTCGGCAATCCGACTTCTACAGACGGCATCCCTGGATTTATTTCAGGCTTCGCCACGTGGTTTCAAGTTCTCTGCATCTGGAGCTTCCTTTTGGTACACACAAATATCTCGCATCTTACACTGTCTAGACTAACACCGTCCTTCTCGTCTTAGTTGTTCTTCGCAGGAGCGTAATTACTACAATTTCCTCATTTTAAGTAGCTTTTTCCAGACACTTGGCGATAGAGAAACGATGATTCCCGAAACTAGAAGAAAATTGTACTAGGAGCACGCGTATCGAGTCAAAGGAGGATGATAAGTATCTAAGGAAGCTGAAGACGAGAACAACTTGAGACAGACTAGCAGAACAAGACATTGAGTTAAGACGTAATAATAGAACCAGGCTACCTGATTGAAGAAATTATTTTTTCTGGGTGTAACAGTTCTACTCGTAATATCACTGAATATACCTGCTAACACGTTTGGATTATCCATAAATGCATTATTCTTCTCTAGTTTTGAGGACAGATTTTTTTACCGTGTTCGTTACTCAGGGTATTGACTTTTTTCCAGGCAGTCTTGTGGGATTTTCAGCTGTCTGAATTACTTGGACCGCCTACAACCAAAGCAGAATCATTGGTAGCTCCAGACTGAAATAACCTTGGTAAAATACGCCTTCCTGTGAATGAAGATCTAGAAAAAAAGAATATCCTCTATTTTCGGTTTGAGCCGGCCCTGTGCCGTTTGAGTCTGTTCGCCTCTGTCGCTAATGTACCGGAACTCATATCAGCTGTTGGTGTATGTCTTTGCCAGTCTTAATGGTCTTGATACAATTGCTAATTCTGATAGACGGACCGTGAAGGCGAGAACTTCTCTCTTTCGATTTTGTCTTGCGGAAAGATACACCAAAAACCTTACCGGAACTTCCCAGCTTCTGTTGCACTTCTCCTTTGAGGAAATAAAAGATTAAAGATTTGAATAATACAGCGTGAATTCAGCTATCGTTGAAAGTCTTCCACCTTCATGCTGAAAGCATGACGCGCATGGTTATTTCGAAAATTATAAGGATATCAAGTTAGTTATATACAAACATGCGGCCAATCATGTACGAAGAAGTGATTGAATATAGCGAAGAAAATAAGATAGTGACAAAATTTCAAGCAGGATTCAGAAAAAAGTATTCTACTGAAACAGCAATTCAAACGGTAGTAGAAGAATGGAGGCGAAATATGGATGAAAAAAGATTACATTGCTATGGATTTCAAGGTCCAGTATTCAACTTATTACAAAATTATTTAATCAATAGAAGTCAAAGAACTAAAATTGGCAATAGATTATCAAACATTAATCAAATTTCGGTAGGTATGCCACAGGGTAGCAAATTAGGTCCATTACTATTTATTTGATATATTAACGATATTCCTAATATATACATATATATATATATAATAAAGACATTGAAACTCCAATAGAGCTGTTAAATAATGATATGAAAAACGTAATAAATTAGTTAAATGTAAATAAACTTAAACTAAACACAGACAAAACAAATAGAAAAATCTTTAGATCAAAATACGATATATCTTACAATTAATCATGAAAAAATTGTGTCAATCGAATCATTCAAATATTTGGGCATATACGTAGACAGTAAACTAAAATTTGAAAGGCACTATGAATATATTATTTCAAAAATGTCCAAGAAAATAAATTACTTTTATAGAATTTCACATAGCCAAAGCGTTTGTTCTAAAAAAATGGTGTACAACACTATCATTCTTCAACATTTGTTATATTGTTCTACTACTTTGTTGACTGCAAATAAAACTGTATTTTCGAAATTACAAATATTACAAAATAAAGCTATGAGAATCATCTTAAATAAAAATAGATATACTAGAATAAATTTTATGCTGAAAAAACTACAACGGTTAAATATCAAAAACTTCATAGCCTACGTGGTTTTGATTTTCATTTACAAGTTAAAAAAAATCATCTTCTACCAAATCACTTAGAAAATTTTATTGTATTGAACAATGAGCGCCACAATTATTCTACTGGAGGAAGTATAGATTTTCATTTACAAAACTGCAGTAGCAACATAACAAGCAAGTCAGTATTTCAAAAGGGATTGTACGAATTTAATGAGTTAAGTAATTATATCAAGATGTGTGTCAGTTTGAAAATGTTCAAAGGGAAATTGAAAAAATATGTCATGGAAAACCATAATTCATAGTAGTGAAATTTTGTATAAATATATGTAGGCATAATATATTTTATGATATACTGTGTAATATGGATATTATGGATATTGTAGAATTAATGTTAAAATAAATAAAAATGTTAAATAAATCCGAAACAAATAAAAATAAAAGGTATGGTGACACTTTCATTCTGTGTTTCGGTTTCATCATACCTTCTTATAATTTTCGCTAGAAATTCATGTCCAATTATGAAAACGTAACTGAATTTAAGACTGAAAACTCTCTTTAAATTTATAAAAAGTGTGGTTACCGTCTGGTAGATTACGTTAATCAGTGATAACATTTGCACCCTGTAATGTTATATTAGTTGCTCCTGAGGCCATTGTTCTAAATATAGATTAGAGAACCTTGTTGACTCTAATTACATCCAAAAGCTATTGTCAATAATGGCAATATTTCGAATGAACGTTGCTAGTAAGCAATTTCTAATGCTAATGCTAAACTCTAGCAAGCGCAAATAATAATATTTGCTAATGCCATCAAACGTTATGAAATGTTTGTCAGCATCGAGCCATTTGTAGGTTCGTATAGACGATTTAATCATTCAGGACTGGAATTTATAATATTATTGACTGCTGTGCAAGAACCATAGATTATAATATTCAATACTGCTCATATTATGCTTGTTAACGGAATAATATACATCGACAAGCTCGCTGTTTACGCTGAGAGACTTAAATTTCGAACAAATTCCGTTAATGAAGTTTGTATTCTGTACACAGCGTTACTTGGGTTGGTATTAATACGTTAGCCGTTTCAAAATAATGCGGCTAACTCTAATGGGTTTCCGTCATATTTGCGAACTACGTCTAGAAGCTTTGACTCGAAATGGGGATGTTGTGGGACTGACATTTATATTGCGGAATCGCCATCTAAGGTTAATGCGGAAAATCTGAGGCTAGTTTCCAAACCTGCCTGAAATTCCTGTCCGGAACTAGAAGACGAAGTGACTGACATACTTGCAAACCTTCAGCACACAAACGTCATTGTGAGGTCACATTGCTTCAAATCGCTGTCAAATACAAATGACAGGAACTGGGTGAGACGTTTACAAGCATGAGCAACATTGCAAAATGTCAGATAAGTGATTAGAATTGATTCCAAGGGTAACCTGACCAAAGATGGGTTTCAATTGAACAAGCCTCGTAAAAGCCCTGGTCAATATATACTAAGTGACATATAAATCCGAACACCCAGTTTAAATGGTTTTATTTTAATAAAATTTTGTATAAGTACTTAATGAAGCATAATAAGTAAATGATAAAAATTTCAAAATGATTGCACTGCTTTAAAGCCCTTTGAGCTTTAATAATGTGTAGATGCACCCTGATGTGCTACGCATTCTCCAACGCGCCTAGGCATGCTTCTGATCAGGTGGTCAATGTCCTCCTGTGGTATCTCATTCCAGGCAACCACCAACTCCTCTCGAAGTGCTTCTAGAGTCTGAGGAGGACGTTGCAAATTGAGCAATCTCCTACCCATCATATCCCACACGTGCTCAATTGGGGATAAGTCGGGAGATCTTGGTGGCCATGGTAACAATGTGACATCATTATGTTGGAAGAAGTCTATTGTGACTCTTGCAATATGTGGTCGGGCATTATCTTGTTGGAAAGTTGGATCTGCCAGGGCGTCAAGATAGGGTAAAAGATGGGGTTCTAGAACTTCGTGGATATAACGCTGCGCGTTCATGTTACCTCTGATGAAGATTAAAGGTGACCTGGAACCATAAGCTATAGCGCCCCAAACCATAACTCCAACAGTGTGATGAACATGTCTTTCAACAAAAAACTGTGGATTCCTCCTTTCACCACATCGCCTTCTAACCCTGGCACGACCATCGTGCATGCCTAAACAAAATCGAGACTCGTCACTAAAGACAATACTGTTCCATTCCTGATCCCAGAGTGACCGTTGTCTGCACCACTCAAGACGATTACGTCGGTGTTCTCGAGTTAAAGGGAGGACCCAGTGTGGCCGGTATGAAAACAAGCCAAAACTTCTCATTCGTCGGTAAACACTTCTCATGCCAATAGGTCTTCCGTGTTCTGCAAACCATTCATTTGCAATGGACCTGGTAGTGGAGAAACGGTCCCTTATGGCCAATAATCTTAGGCGGCGATCTTCACGGTCTGTTGTTCTAGGGCGGCGTCCAGTGCCCCTTGCTCTTTGCGTACGGCCTTCTCGAAGCCATGCCTGACAACACCTAACCACAGTGTCTACACTTCTTTGCACTCTAACTGCAATTGCCCGAAAAGAAGGTCCAGCTTCCCGAAGTCCCACTATACGGCCCCTATCAAACTAACTAAGTTGACGAAATCGTACAGGTCTCCGTACTCTAGGCATCGTAACCGATCGTAAAGGATGTCAAGAACCAAAATCCGCCAACGTTGATTCTTTACTGCGGCTGAAATATTCATTTTTAGAGCGTTAGTGAATTAAAAAAAGCAGTATAAAAACCGGAATCTCCAACTGATAAGGCTGAAAAAATTTTCACTTTTTACTTAAAGTAAGATAAATACATTCACCAAATTTTATTAAAATAAAACCATTTAAACCGGGTTTTCGGATTTATATGTCACTTAGTATATGTATATCATGCTCTAGCCTATAGCGACATATCTCTTGCAAGAATATGATATCGAGGAAATCTTGTGAAATTGATAGAGTATTTGTGGCACAAAAAAGAATCACCAGAATAATTTTTGGAATGAAATCACTTGACCCTTCAGAGAAATTTTCAAGCCAAGGGAAATTCTTAATGTGTATTGCACTTACATTTTGAAATGGGTGAACTATGTTGACAAATATACCAGTTTATTTCCAAATATCATGTTTAACACAAAAAATCAAATTTTGAAAATAGTCCAGAAACATACTACCACCTATTTCAAAAGCAAACTGCCTCATGTTGTTCAACAAATTACCAGTTGAAATTCAACAAATTGCTATTTATATCTCATTAAAAAAGAGGCTAAGAAATTATTTCTGCAAAATTAATTTTGCAACTGGGTACTTGGATGTACGAACTTGCGCTTGAGTACATAGCATTGATATGTATTGTTACATTTTTATGATCTTTATTGTTTCATATTACATTTTTTCAATACATATACATACTTGTATCACGTGGATATAAATAAAGAATAAATATCTTATTGCATCTAATACCTTGCAGGTAAACATATAACACGTAAAACTTTCACATTTTTAATTACAGGAATCACAACGTACAATCTTCTTTAAAACTTCTAGCTAGATAAAAGGCAAGTGCGAACACTACTACCAAAAGTACTGCATAGAAAAAATGGAAAAAGCTTATTACAGTCACGTACACTACAATGCTATTATGAAACGGCACCAAACATCCTACTTTAAAAACGTTTCCATCTATGTCCTTACACGAATCAGGGACTTTCCATTCTCTGATTTGCCAATCTTGGGGACCATCAACACCACAGCACTCTACATCTTTCTGTATTCCGTCAATCGCCGTTCTGGCTTTCTTGTTTAAAGGATAGTCCTCATAGACGCGCTCCAAATCTTTCCTGGTGCTTGCAATTTCCTTTAGCTGTGTTACAGCAAAGATTGCGATAGAAGCTTGGATCAACGCTGTTACAATGACGGTAAATGCATAGCAGCGAGCTACATTCGCCCATTCGTATATACTGACGACGATACCCACAGCTGCTAACGATATCAGTATAATACCGTTTATTATCATCAGCGTAACAAGCATTGAATAATCCGTTCGTAAAGACCTGTGACGGAGATTTGCAGCTACAAAGGCGATCATTCCTACTGACACGCAGACTATTAGTATTTGCATACCTGCTAGTGTTCGTACCAACGCTATTTTGCTGCATTTGTACATTTCGGAAAGTTTTTGCTATTTCATGATAAGTTTCTTCTTTTACGGTGGGTTCTGTTGTATGTTCATGCTTTCGCGAGTTGCAGTATTCGTGACATAATAGTGTAGCTGATAACATATGTGACATTAGTGACTTAAAAGAGGTTATGATGTTAACTCATGTTGATGTGATGTTTGTTTTCAATGTCACCTTCTTGGGAAGAAAGGAAAAAGCATACGTGAAAATTCGATATTTTCCTTTGTCACAGCCCAATAAATATCTACTTCAGAGAATTCCTCAGACGTGTGAGTGATATATACTATTCGTCATTATTCGTCGTTCGATGGAGCTTTGCTCTTAGTTGTATGTTAGTCTGTCAGGTTTGGCTACCCAGATACCAAACAGGTTTAAGGGGAAAAGGGAATGAAGGAAAGAAAGGAAGGAAGAAATAGGGCAAAGAAAAGAAGTAAATCATTTGAAATAGCTTAAGCATTATTGCTTTGACTACTCCAATTATTTTGTAACTCCAAAAAATAATTTTGATCGGTTTTGTATACTGGCATAATTTTGGCTGGTCTGAATTTACAATTTAATTTTGATCACAGTGCGAGGCGCGGGCTGGAATGTTTGCGAACTTGCTCGACTGTGTAGTCTACTGAATAACGCAACAGAATGTTGCTGTGCCATTCCGCTTGACTATAACGCCAATGCGCCTGTTGTTTTACATAATCCCTTAGATATGGGATATCAAGACCTCTGTGAATGGTCTCATTTGACACGTACCAAGGGGCGTTACAGTATATTCAGATAAGAGATAGACCGGATGTAAACAAAAGGTTCGGGTGATTTTCACGCTAACGCCGCTGTCTCGACGTAAAACAGGAGCCCTCATTGGTCAATTCGCAATTAAATGCCTATGCCGAGCGGCAGAGAAGTCGTATCAAGGCAGAGCCACATTCAGGTTCAGACGTGTTACGTATGTCGTGTGCATCATTGTAATTTGATATTTCTTTGGACGTTTTCGTTTGTTATCTTATTAAGTTGTTGAGTTTGTCGTTGTTATTGTTATACCTTGTTATTGATTGTTATTGTTATGAACAGCTTGCGCAAAATGCCCAGTAGTACAGATACTGCCGATGAAGTTGTAAACTCCTGTAGTCCACCTAGGAAACGCTCTAAAAAAAGACACCTGAGTGCAGAAATGAAAGAGGTCATTTTGAATATATATAAGATCGAGCGCGAGGAGAACGAGGCATCAACCATCAAAGAAATTGTTGTGAAGGTTTCTCACAAAGTTGGGGTGTGTCGCGCATCAGTGTTTAATGTGTTATGACAATACAAAAAAAATCACACCTTTTCTGAGCCAATGACCAGTAAACATCGCAAAAGGATTGTTAAATCATTGGATGAAGCTGATAAGCATGCGATTAGGGGGAAAGTGCATGAATTCTTCTTTAGAAATGAAATACCTACTATAGATAAAGTACTGCAGCAGGTAAATGGAGATACAACGTTGCCAAATTTCAAACGATCAACTTTCCATGCCCTACTGAAGCATTTAAATTTCAAATGGAAAAAACGGGGTCGTAATAGTTTACTACTGGATAGAGAAGAAATTGTGCTATGGAGGAGGGATTATTTAACAAAAATTGGGAAATATAGAAATCAAGACAGGAAGATTTATTACCTTCATGAAACGTGGGTAAACGCAGGACATACTACAAGTATGGGTTGATGATTCTGTAACTTCATCCAGGAGGGCCTTTCTAGATGGACTGTCCACCGGATTAAAAAATCCAGCAGGTAAATACGAGTAATAGACAACAATCGGATGTTTTTCAAACCTTGGGAACAAGGTTCTAAACATTAATTCCAGGGGGCAGATAAAACATATTACAAGTAACAAAACTTTTATAACTTTCGATAAAATGCGTGGATGTTTTATTGTCATTTTCATTTGTTAGAACTTTTTTAAGCCATGTTTTTATGTGTTTTCGATATTTCAATAATTTTTTAATATAATCTTAAAATATGTCGAATATTATAAACTTAAAAAAAGTTACTAAGTTTTATATTGTGTACCGTTCCTAATATTTCTAATCAATTTAATTCATACTTTAAGCTTTATAAAGTTATAATTTGTTAATATTAATATTTGCGCGTATTTCAGGTTCCTGATCATTCATTTTTTAAAGGTTTATAACTTTAAATTAAATTGCGAAGCGCTGAGTAATCATACGACGTTCAATATTATTTCTTTCAATATGACTAAATAATCCCAATTATAGCAATCTGATACTCATGTCTCAATGTTTTTTCGCTGAATGTGATGAAAACATTTGAAAAAGGTTCGCTTATTGAAATAAATCTACACCAGTTAGTACTTCGATTTCCAGGTAAAGGGAAAAAGCTCATTATCTGCCATATTGGCAGTGAGGATGGATTTGTTGTTGACGGTCTGTGGTGCTTTGAGTCTAAGAAAACTGGAGATTACCACGAGGAAATGAATGGCGAATCGTTTGAGCAGTGGTTTTCAAAAATTTTACCGAACTTAGAGGAAAACGCAGTAATTGTGTTGGATAATGCGCCTTATCATTCTCGAAGAATGGAGAAGGTCCCAACAACGGCTTCAAGGAAAGTTGATGTTCAAAATTGGCTCCGCTCGAAAAATATCAACTTTGAAGAAGCAATGCTGAAAGTACAATTATTAAGAATTGTCAAGGATCACAAGGCGGAATATCAAAAATACGCCATTGACGAAATGGCAGCAAGTCAAAATAAAAACGGGGCTCCGTTTACGTCCATACCATTGCGAGCTCAATCCCATTGAGCTCATATGGGCAGAGGTTAAAAATTATATAGCTAAGCACAATACAACTTTTAAATTTTGTGACCTCAAAGGACAAGGCGAGTACTAATAGGACTAATAGGACAAAGTTGAAAAGAGAATGTGGGAACTGGACAATATTTTAGAGGAACAAGCATTCATTATTGACGTTGGTGCTTCAGGCAGTAGCGATGATGAAAGCTCATCAAGCTCATCTTTCCAATAAAAGATGTCGTTCATCAAATTCGGTAAGTTATAAGTAATTATAAAGCTACTGTATTTTTTAATTAATTATTGACATTTTTGAACCCATTTTGGCAAAACCTATTCAAGAATCTACTTTCTGACAATGTTCAACCATGCACACTTTTTTACGTTTTAAACGTTTTAATTTGGTTACATATTTACCTAGAAATCAAAAAATATACTAATCAATATTCTAAAAGCAATTTTAAGAGATATACGATTATTTTTAATTTAGGCTAATTTAAACGCCATTTTGAGATTATATTCGACTGTATTTCACCAAACATCAGGCGGCATCCGAAGCTGGAAATCGAAGCGAAAATTTTGAAACCCTTATGTATATTTACATCATTATATATTTCTTACCCTACCCCCACATGATCCTATATCTATCACCAATCGTATACTCATCGAATTGTGCTAATTTACTACAAAGTTACGCAAAGCAGCATCTACTATCTAAAATATGTACTGCGTGACTCTTAATACGTCCCTGCCGAATGTTACAGCGTTCGATGATCACGTGGTCTTGTTTATGTCCGGTCTATCTCTTATCTGAATATACTGTAGGTTCAGATTATTTTTCTTTGTTTCCTTCCACTGGGTATCGATAATTTTATTCCAATATTTTAGAGTATCGATACTTCCTTAGACGATAAGAATCGATAGATAGCGATAGTTTTCGTGGATTTAAACATCCCTAATCTTGACAGCTTGTCGTTCTTGTCATCTAGGTTGCAGGGTGCGATGTTGCCTTTACTATCTTACATATTGCTAAAATCTTATGACAAACAAAAGCTTCAAATGAAATATTGACGAATATGAACGGATATGCATAGAATTTAGAATATAAATTCATATTGCAAATGTCAGATTATCTATGCATGGACTTGAGCCGGATTTTTCGATATTTTTACGGAAAAGAGAATATTTACCGAAAACATCATTCTCCACGACTTTTCAAAATAATTTAAATATTTCTATATTTGCCGAAAAAGAGTTGAAACCAAAAATAAAGCTAAAAGTTAATTTTATGTAGTCTTCATAGTTTTATGCCCCATGTCATGGGTTCGGCAACACTGCAGATGTGCAGATCACTTTAATCACTGATATTCAGAGACCTTTGACAGCTTCTGTCAAATTGCATTTCGTTAAGCTATTTTCCCATTGGTCCAAGGGACCGTCAAATATTAATTTTGGTGTAATTGGGCCTTAGCACACCAAGGAATAAATGGCGACAATTAATAGCGTAAGATTGTATGTATCCAATCCACGTATTCGTAACAATACATACAATTCACAGATAATAACTAATAAAGTTGTTTCACTGCTTGACAATTTTCCTCCTGACTGTACGCTAACTAGTCTAGACACGACGAGAGACATAGTTCATATCTCTTAAGAAATTATTCTCGTTGTCAGACGTCAGCAGAAAAATGCGCTTGCTCCGCAAAGAAACTAAGAAAATAACAAATGAATCAATCCAATCTGCACCTGCAGTCTCTTATTTCGCCCACGCAGAGAGAGACTAGCATGTCGAATTCTATCGTAAAGAGCTGCAGCGCCCGTAGAAAGTGCAATTACCACTCGTATATATATATTTATCAATTCGCATGGGCTTCTCGAGGAGACTAATAATGTTAATCTTGTAACGTTGGAAGTCTTGACAAGCGCTCAGTGGGAGAAGGAAAGCCGGTTCATTGGCTACGTAGACAGTGTCACACAAAAATATACGATTATCTTCGTGAAAGATGAATTGCGTTGTGAAGTCGGTTGCTGTAGAGGTGGTTATTATTGTGCTTATGATGGATAGATTCTACTCGAGGTATAGCGACAAAAGGGACTGTCACAACGATGACGCTGACTAGACACCAGAATACTGTCAACGATGCTAAAAAAAATAAAGTAAGTAACGCTGGCAAATATGCTGCTAATATTATAGTGTTTCCAAACACAACCGAAGACCTGCAACACAATTATGGAAAAAAGTAAAGCCTACGGACATAAACACTAAAAAAGACTCCATGATCGTCAGCAGTCAGAACATCTATACGTGAACTGAACGCG